GACTTTTTCTGGAATATTAGTTTGCATTTTAAAAAGTACACTTAATTGCATTGGATAAACACTTTGCTGCCATGCTCCAGCTCATGCTACGTCCGCAGCTGCTCCTATTTAAGGGATAATTGTAGCCTCACTTTTCTACAAGGAACTAATTCTGATTTTTGAAAGGATTTGTCCTCACAGTTTATCCTGATGAGAGAGAACTGGATTATTGCCGTGTAAAATAGCTGAATAGTCCTATTATAGCTATTATGCCACAAATGTTGTGTATTGTAGAAGATCAAAGTACTGTACTACACTCAATGGTGAGATGTATAAGCATGGCACACTTCCCACATTACGTAAAATATATATATATAAACTGCATTTTATGAGTCATTTAGTGTCATGTGAGGTGTCTGTGCACCCGGTATCATTTCCCTCAAACTTTTCTCATCATTTTGAAATCCTTTATTTTCTGGTTGAAAGACTTACAATCTAGTCATTTCTCACTAGTCTCCCCAGGAAATAAACTTCAGTACTCTATGTTCTTCCATTGCCGGATATTACTTATTGCATATCATTCTACTTTACATTTAAATTACTTTAGGAAAATGTTAAGTAACCCTGGACAACAGCTCTAACTGGCAAATTGAGAAAATGTAAATGTTTGCCATCAAAATCATTAATGACACTTCTTTTGACTCTTTAAAATGTGTGGAACTCAGCATTGATTGGGTTCTAAGGAAACAAACAGAACTGCTTCTCCATAACCTGATTAAGAAGGTAAATTTGAACACACCTATATAACAAGATGCCTTATAACACAAGAGGCCCACATAAAATGCCAAATGCCTGAGTTTTAAAAAATAAATGAGGCTTCTTTTTTTTTTTCCTATCAGAAAGACTTGACATCAGCTGTCCCTGAAAGACTCACTCTTCCTTCAGAAGAAGACAGTAAATGACTGAATCTTAATCTAGTAGTGCAATATGGTATGCTTAGATTTGGGTTCTAATATTTGGCATTTCAAAATCAGTCCCTCTACACAATATCCTATTTTCATAGGCAACTGCAGAGGGCTTCTGTCCTTGAAGAGAAACTAACTTCAAAAACTAACAAAAAATGTCTGTCAGGAAGTGCCATTTTCTGTTGAATGATTTTTATAAAACTCTCATAAATCATAGATGGGATTAGCTGTCTAGAGGATATTTTCCCTAAAGTAACACATTCTGTGTATGTGATCTGGAGACATTACTACAAGATTTAGGACTTACCTACATAATACAAAGAACCAGTAAACATGAAATGTAGGCAGTGAAAACAACCACAAATTTGAAAGTACGACCATTCATGAAACTATATTAAAATGAACATGGGTGATGTTCAGGCCACAAAATCAAATGCTGAGTGTGTTCTGTAATTATTAGTTAGGTTTTCCATCATAATTTATAAAATTAAATTTATAAAATTAAGTGATATTAAATGTAAAAAAATCAGGACCAGGTCTAATATGTACTAAGCATTTCACAAACTGCAGGTATTGGGATTATGACATCAATATTAGAAAGATGTTTTGTTCATGGACATGAATTTGCTGGTAATTAGAGTTTATGAAGTTTCCAGTGCATATAAATACATTGTAACTTGAACCTATAGGACAATTCATGTATGTTTACTTAACAGAAACTAGGTAAATTGCCAAACTTATCTCCAAAATGGAAAAGCAGATGACGGTGTCCTGATAGTGGTGATCTTCAATGTCCCCTTAAGAGGACCAACAAAAAATGACAACCTAGCCTACTTAATAAAATGTCATGCTTTTAATATTTCCTTTGGGCTCATCTTCTCATTCCTTGTAGATCAGTGGTCCTCAATCTTTCCTGAAAATAAAAACCAATGGAACCAGAATTCACTAGGGGTAAGGGGAGGGGGAAAGTTGTACCCATAAGTATTTCTTCAAACTGCTAAGAGATGACTCCATAAATCAGAAAGGACTACTTTAGAAGATTCTAAACTCCTCTAGAGCAGGAACCATTTCTTAAGTCATTAATTTGTTTCTGAATTTCGATGCTATACACAATATTTAGCATTAGTGCTTTGTGGGGCTATGTCTCCATTAACGAATATACAAATGAATGAATAAATGGACAAATAAATGAACAAACTTAGCTATGATATGGAGTCAACTATTGCATTTTCTAAATTAAGATTTACTCAGTGGTTTAGTTGTTCAACTTTCCTCAAGTTCTCCCCCAATGGAATACAACATATCTATTCAACATATGCTGGACTTTGGGTAGGGCATTTATAAAGAGAGATTTTTTTTTATTATACTGAGATGACCTTCACAATCTAGTCTCTTTGCATAAGTGATTAAACACTCCCTGCTCCAACAGTTTCAACTGTGCAAGGCACAAATATACCACTTGCACTCTACACAGCTCATACGGAAGAAACCAGACCCTCAGTTATTAAGTACAGGGATACACAGGCCCCATGTATCTGGGTTTTCCATCGAAATAGAGGAAAGTAGTAGGTATGATATGCAAATAGGAAGATGTCATTATCTCGCAGGTGTCAAATGTTGACAGAGATAACATTCCAGCCTTAAAAATTTCATTTCATATTCCTGGTGGTCACAAGGCCATCAAACAGAAATCAATTGTGGGTCCTAAGAAAGTTTTTGAAAAATCCATTTTTGAGTCCATGTAATATGTTGTAATGAATATCAGACTGATAGAAACTTAAGCTTGGATGTGTTTCATTTAAAACCTAAAAGATTTTATTATTTATTGTGAAAGGAGAGATAGGCACATTTTAACATCTAAAATTTAATTTTGAAAGTTGACGTTATAAACCACAAAACTCCATGCAAATTTTATTATAAAGACCTTTATTAGTAGGAAGATCACATTTTCTATTTCTTACTTTTATTTTGTGCCTTGAAGGTCTTGAGAATCTGGAAATGAATTTTTTTTCTTATTGGTCCTTTTTCCCACTCTAACCTTCACCATGCTAATCTTGAAGGTAGGGAGAAGGCTGAATTTTTGCCACTTGTAAAATGATGATGAGAAGAAAAGCAATGGCTTAAGAGCAAGGGGATGCAAGCGGTGCAAAGTAATGTCGAACAAAGGCTCCAAAAGGAAGCTTGTTCATAGGAGAGGCTCAAGGATGCTAACTTTATCATTTTTATACTGTATTCATAGTCATCCCCCTCCGATCTCTTCTTGTACTTGGCTGGTGGTGTTAACTCTAAAAGATAAGCTGGGGAATGCTACATATAGAGAAGTTGGCTCAGCGTTTATTAGAGGAGTGTGGGGTAGCACAATGTTCTCAGTATCTTCCATGGAGCCAGAGACAAGCGGAAATGATGAAGAACTCCAGGCTTCTTCGCGGGGTCTTTGGTTGTGTTGTGGGCGGGGGGGGGGAAGAGGGGGATGTTCCTCATTGAATAGATAAACATCGCCCACTCCTACTTGAACTTCCCACAGGGAACATTTTTTCCAGGGAAAAATCTGCTGGACAGAGGCCAAGAGCCCCTAAACTGTAACAACCACCAGAAGGCGCAAAGTTGTAAGTTTCCAAGTTGGCAAAGTAAAGAGAGAAAACATGACTGCTGACATCCTTACCCCACTTACCAACCCAAGAAATGGGGAGGCAGGTTTAACTCCAGGTCTTTGTGGACCGTCAGGACCATTATTGGACTTCCGGCTATAAAGACAGAAGAATTCCATAAGGAACAACTGACAAATCCACATGTTTTTCTCTAGCCCAATCGTGTGCAATCGTATGCTGGTAATTTTCCTTATTTATCCATAGAATCACCCTGTGGTATTTTGTGAGGCTGCCTGGGCTTTCCTAGATAGCCAGTGGGTATGGATGTTAGAGAAGTGCAGGCTGGAGGGTGCAGAAAGAGGGGAAGGGGAGCCACTCTCGACACCCATCCACAGGCCAAACAGAGGCTTCTTGCCCCGCCATCTGCTCATGTCTTTAGGACCGTCGCCCACTCACAAAGCGCAAAGAGGTCGCGCTCCCTGCGCGTTCCCGGCCCCCGGGAGGGGCGATGCGCAGAAAAGTCACCTGCACGTCTGGCGGGGAAGAGGGTGAGGGAGCAGTGACAAGGCTTGGGACAGCCGCTGGTGGGGAGATGGGGGGACGCAGAGAAAGGGGTGAGGACCGCGGCGGAGGAGGTAGTGGCAGCGGTGGGGTGGGGTGGGTGCCGGGGCGGGCCGGGGGCGGGGCTGTGGGGCAGGGTGCGCCACAGCGCCCCCTGGCCGCGCACTCCCCGCAGTGCCCGGCGGCCGCCAGGGCTCCGAGTTGCCTGCCCCTTTGTGTGAGACGCACGGACCCAGAGGAGCACGGCTTGGGCACAGCAAAGGCTCCCCGGGGTCCCGCCGTTTCTGCCCCGGCCCGGCCGCGCTTTCCTCCTCCTTCTCCTCGGCTCCTCCCTCCTCCAGCTCCCGGCCTCCAACAGCAACCATTGGGCCGCGATCAACCCGCGTCCCACAGCGCTCTCCACCCCGCCCGGCCTGGGGCGCTCGCTCCCCTCCCGTCCTGGTCCCCTCTTGATCCCCCTCCTCAATCCCAGGCCTCCAAGGTGGAGAAAATAAACTAAAAGCAGAGTAACCCAGAGTCTCCAATAAAACGCCCAGTACCTAAAGCCCGAGCGCTTGTGCCGGGCGGCGAGGGGCGCGGGAGGCGGGGATGGGGGGGCGGGCGGGGGGACAATGAGCGCATGAAGTTACCTGCCCGGCAGCGGCGGCGGCCGAGAGGCGGTGGCGGAGCAGGCTGCGCGCTCGGCGCCGACGGGTGCGCGCCGCGGCTTGGGGGAGAGTTGAGCGCTTTTCCCCCCTCTTTTTTTTTTTTTTTTCTTTTTTCTTTTTTTTTCTCCTCTTCTTCTTAAACAAACCACAAACGGATGTGAGGGAAGGAAGGTGTTTCTTTTACTCCCGAGCCCAGACACCTCTCTCTGTTCCGTCTAAGCTTGTTTTGCTGAGCACTTTAAAAAAAAAAAAAAAAAAGGAAAAGAAAAGGAGTTGCTTGATGTGAGAGTGAAATGGACGTAAGATTTTATCCACCACCAGCCCAGCCCGCCGCTGCGCCCGACGCTCCCTGTCTGGGACCTTCTCCCTGCCTGGACCCCTACTATTGCAACAAGGTGAACGCTCTGCTTTTGTTTCCACCGTGTTCTTACTGCTTGGTCCCGGGAGGGGGGCGGCGGCGGCCGGGCCGCTGTGGGGCCGGCTCGGCGGACAGGGCCGGCTCGGTGAAGGCCGGTCCCGGGCGTGCTCGGCTCGCAGCCCGCTGCAGCCCAGCGTGCGCTTGGGTAGTAAATATTGTGGAGGAGCTCCGGGAGGTTGCCCAACACCGCGATCGTGCGGAAAGTGACACGATTTGCTCCGATTCTTTCCTTCCTGCTGTTCGCTACTAAGGATCCCTGCCTAGGTTTGCCGGGGGGGCGTTAAAAAGAGAGAGAGAGGAGAGAGAGGAAAAATCACGGAATACTTTGGGGGTGTGTCTGGGGTCCAGGAACTGAGGCAGAGTAAGAGAATTCAGTTAATTCCCCAGTTCCTTCTCTCTCTCTCTTCCTTTCCTGGGCAGCGCGGGCTGGTAGCATCGCTTCCTTGCCCCGGATTAGTTGTCAGGGGAGCAGCCGGGAGTCAGGATACAGGGACCCCGGAGGCATCTCCCGTCCCTCACGGTGAAAATTGTTCCACAACTCTTTTGTTTTCCCAGACCGGTTCGGGCAGCCGAGCCCCGAGTTTGGACGCTGGCCTGCACTGGCCAGGGCGCAATGTACTAACCGGGTCACGATTTGGGGGATAGCTCCCTTTTGGGGGTGCGCACGGAAATTGCAAGTTTGTTGTAAACTGGACGAGAGTGCCGCCTTCAAGTTCAAAGCTATGACACCCAACGCGGGGCTTCAGCAAGGTTCCCGGTTAGGCTATACCCACAGCTCACTGTCCCCGGGTGCCAGGGCTGCAGGAGACTAGAACCAGGCGTACCATGCAGGCGACCCGTAGTGGGGGCGCCGGCCAGGGCTGCTCTGGGGCTTAGTTCGGCCCACGGATAGGACAATCAAGGGTACCTAAGACGGGTTACGCTCCAGCTTCTTCAACTCTCATCCCCAAGCGGGAGGACAGACAGGGATTGGTCCCTGGGAGCAGCCACAGGGCCACTGCTCTCCTTGCCTCGGGGTTGTTGGACGTGTCTAAGCAGTCCCGCCAGAGGAAGGCTGGAAGGTTGGCGGGGAGAATTGAATTCTCTAAAATACGGGGCGGGCCTTTTAGACGCCCAGTTCTCGCTTGGTGTTAAACCTGCCAGATTGTCATAGTCCCTCGGTGAAATTCATGGGAAGAATCTTTGGGACTCCCAACATTTGCTTCATGGCAAGGCATCAGCCAACAGCTTTTACCACGATACAGAGGTGTTTAGCGGGCTGCATCCTCAGCCCCTGTGCGCCCATCACGCGACCAACTCACAGCTTCGAGTCAATCAGAACGAGAGAGAGAGAGAGAGAGAGAGAGAGAGAGAGAGAGAGAGAGAGAGAAAAGAGAGGAGAGAGCTGTGAGTTAAGTGAACCGCAGACATCACCCGTGGAGACGATCCTCGATGCTGTGGACAGTGTAAGACTCACTAAAAGGACTGTGCTGCGTGCTGATGGTGTTTAGGAGTTGGAGAAGAGGGACATTTATCTTGGGGAAGGCAGAAAGGCTTCTGTATACTAGGAACCCTTTAGCGAGGAGCAAGTTGGAAGGTGTTGGGAACTTGGCAAATGCAGAGGAGTTTGTGTGATGAAGTTTTATTATTTGCTGGTAACATAGTTCTGTTAGCCTCAATTCTGTTTTAACTTTAAAACATAGTATTGTGTATTTCCTTTTATTTTGCTTATAACATGAATACCATTACCAATAAAAGAATAAAGTATCAATTCTGGCTCGGAGATTAAAGACCTATTCCACAGTTGTTACCGGAACCAAAAGATCACAGCCATTTTGGCAATGAAACTGGACAAATCTTATTAAATTTACCAGTGATTTTAGGCTTCAAAAAGAAGGTAATAACTTGGATATGCATTTCACTCCTCATTCTTGTGATAGTAGGGTCAGATTTAATTTAAAAGTTAAATGCTTTGGAAAATCAGGAATTACTTCAATATAGTAAATCATTTTCCAATTAAGTGCTTTAAATAATTTTAGTGGGTTGTGCTGTGAGTTGAATAAATTAATTTTGAAAGTCTTAAGAATTTCTTTACTAGCTCATTGAAGTTCCTTTTAAGTCACCCTGTGTGTAAGAAGCAAACTGTTCTTTTTAAATGCAAATTAGTCACCCTTTCTATAGACTAGTTGCAAGTCTTCTTGCCTGGGGAATAATGGATTTTTAAAAATGCAAAGTCATAAGACTTGTTTCTAATAGTGGACGCTTCCTCCCGCCCATCCTGGGTAGCAGTCCATCTCAGATACATGTCACCGCTCCCTGATAGTATTAAGTGTTCTGAGGAGGTTTTGAGGCCCCACAAAGCCCAAGCACTTGTTCTTCCTTTTCTGTCATGACTAGCATTGGTATAAAATTTCTGTCTTGCTCCTCTCTTTAGTTCTGTAGAATACAGTCAACCAGTATTCATTTTTGTCATGACTCCAGTGGATTTGCAGGGAAAGAAAGGCAGAACTTTCGAATAGGTGAAGAAAGAAACCTGTGTCTACATTTAATAAAAAAACAAGTTAGATCAGACTTCCCAACTGAGACAAACTGCAAAGTAATCCTTGTCTCCCTCTAAGGCATAAGGAATATGTAGTTTATTAAGTCACTTTGTCAGGTTATTTGTTTTTAATAGGGTGATCATATCATAAATTACTAATTATCTTTCTTTTAAATCTTTGAATACTTCACTACTTGAAGGTGGTGTGCTAAATCCCAGGGGAACCAGCTTCATTGCTTTGGAACGGTAGATAAAGTTTCCCAGTGACATTTTTTTCAGTGTCAGGAGAGGCCCTAATCAAGAAAATGAGTATTCTCTTCCTGAGTGTTTTTAAACTAAAATGTGATTGTTTTTACACCACTGACACTTTCCAGCTCTCTGGCTCTGTAGATTGCCAAAACACTGCTTACTTTTCAGTTAATAAACTCTGTAGGAGGCAATTTTGGAAGCTGTTTAACCCAGTGCTCTGTTGTAAGAACACATCACATTATGTACATATCACTATGCAGACTGGCCTTCATTTTTACACAGCCTGTTGCGGGAACAATGCAAGTGATGCTGGTTATAGCAAGTGTGTGAGCGAGGTATCTCTTACACAAGCGGCCAGAACTGATGGCATGATGCTTGCTCTATATAGGTCAGCCTTTGAAAGAGAAGTGCAGCTAAGAGACTGGCCAGAAACATGTAGGCTGCAGGGAACAGTATTCAGTTCTTGCAACTAAGAGCATAGTTATATTTCAGACATTGAAAGATGGGTACCACAGTGGAGTTTCATCTAATTGGACTATTTTAAGTAAGAGTATATCCCTTAATTGAACCGAATGTTACCAAAAGAAATAAACTCGCAATTGGAGTTCAGTAGTAAAATATTGTCCTATTTTTTGTTCTGGTTGAAGATGTCAAATCATCAGTTTAAATATATACCTACAGAGTAGTAACAGCTCCTTTCGGTTTCTTAGTGCAGTGTCATTTCTAAAGATTGTTTTCACTGATTTTATGCTAAAACGGGACAAAGATGGGGTACTTTTTCATTTTTACAGCGATGTGATGTGTTCGGTTATTGCTCGGTATCTGCCCACATAGGAGTAGTAATACAATTATGTTACAACATGGCTAATGACGGGATGCTGACCTCGGCCAGCAGTGGGAGGGGAAATAATGAGCTTTTCTGTTCTCAGTGGTTGCTTTTGTGTGATCCTGCCCTGAATCTTCCTTTGGTGGATTTAGAAACAGAAGTCCTAAACACAAACCCAAGCTTAATAGCAACTATATACAAGGTAAAGAAAACTAGCGTTTGGGATATTGGGCTTTTCCCTGTAAATGTAGAGGAAGGACCCATTTGTGATGAGCTCTGCTTGATAATGTCATGGCAGACACTAAACATGTGATAACTTTTGAGAAAAACAAGATGGATTATACTCTCTGCAAAATCTTCTTTGAGTTTATTTTCTTACTTAGTGTGTGTATTTGTACTTTAATATGGCAAAACTCATCTCATCCAAAACACAAGACTGCAAGTACCTTAAGATGGAGTACTTATTCCTATTTTGATTAATAAATGTAAGAAAAAGGAGAATAAACGTTAAGAGGGAGTAGGAGGATAGCAGAGAGGAAGGGAAGGGTTATAAGTAATTTAGAGCATCATGCTTGATTAGTTCTCTATCCAACTCCATAACTTCTAGGACTTAGGGAAATTCATAGTTGACACCTCATATTCCATGCAGTTTTATTACATGGCACAAGATTTGGAATATTTCAATATCCTTTAAATGAGTTTATATAGGCAAGAGAGAACATAAACCAAGAAATCATACAGTTTGGCCACTAATTCAGATGTCATACAAAGGCTTAAACACAGCTATCTTGATTGTAGGATACTTTAGTGTCACCAGTTCCAATTTTAAATGTCTCTGCAAAAAATTATTATTATAAACTCCAGAGACCTTACATTTTTTAACACAGCATATATATAGTTATTCTCAGTTTATCATATATATTAAAAGTTACCGAATGATAATATTAAGGAGAATTTTGCTATTTTGCCTTAGATAGAAAAACTAAACTAATATTTAAATATATAATTGAGTGTATAGTGTAGATTTTTATATTAAAAATTATGTGACTGCAAAGGGTTATTAAGAGCAGGAGCGCAATAAAGCATTTGAAACTGGAAGAAGTAGGGAAATTCACAAGTTTAACAGTGGCTTCTTGGGTACAAAATAAGGTTTCCAGTGCTGGTTTTGGCATGTGAGGCTGTTTGTAGTGGTCATAGCATGCTACTTTGTATGTATGTGTAATGAGCAATTCAAGGGTGATGGCTAGAAAACTGCAGGGAGGGTCTTCTCCCTGGAAGATGATTGATTCTAATGTTTCCCAACTTTTGCAAAGACACTGTAAAGTTCAAAAGACCCTGGAGATAGTTCTTAAACGGTTTTGATCCTTTCCTGATTTAAGCTAGC